ACCTCTTGTTCAGGGAAGCATCCACAATTCAGCCATTATGAATGAAATAACCCCTTTTATTAGGTTAAACCTCTTGTTCAGGGAAGCATCCACAATTCAGCCATTATGAATGAAATAACCCTTTTATTAGGTTAAACCTCTTGTTCAGGGAAGCATCCACAATTCAGCCATTATTGAAATAACCCCTTTTATTAGGTTAAACCTCTTGTTCAGGGAAGCATCCACAATTCAGCCATTATGAATGAAATAACCCCTTTTATTAGGTTAAACCTCTTGTTCAGGGAAGCATCCACAATTCAGCCATTATTCAAATAACCCCTTTTATTAGGTTAAACCTCTTGTTCATGAAGCATCCAAATTCAGCCATTATGAATGAAATAACCCCTTTTATTAGGTTAAACCTCTTGTTCAGGGAAGCATCCACAATTCAGCCATTATGAATGAAATAACCCCTTTTATTAGGTTAAACCTCTTGTTCAGGGAAGCATCCACAATTCAGCCATTATGAATGAAATAACCCCTTTTATTAGGTTAAACCTCTTATTCAGAGAAGCATCCACAATTCAGCCATTATGAATGAAATAACCCCTTTTATTAGGTTAAACCTCTTGTTCAACCTCTTGTTCAGGAAGCATCCACAATTCAGCCGTTATGAATGAAATAACCCCTTTTATTAGGTTAAACCTCTTGTTCAGGGAAGCATCCACAATTCAGCCATTATGAATGAAATAACCCCTTTTATTAGGTTAAACCTCTTGTTCAGGGAAGCATCCACAATTCAGTCATTATGAATGAAATAACCCCTTTTATTAGGTTAAACCTCTTGTTCAGGGAAGCATCCACAATTCAGCCATTATGAATGAAATAACCCCTTTTATTAGGTTAAACCTCTTGTTCAGGGAAGCATCCACAATTCAGCCATTATGAATGAAATAACCCCTTTTATTAGGTTAAACCTTTGTTCAAACCACAATTCAGCCATTGAATGAAATCCCCTTTATTAGGTTAAACCTCTTGTTCAGGGCATCCACAATTCAGCCATTATGAATGAAATAACCCCTTTTATTAGGTTAAACCTCTTGTTCAGGGAAGCATCCACAATTCAGCCATTATGAATGAAATAACCCCTTTTATTAGGTTAAACCTCTTGTTCAGGGAAGCATCCACAATTCAGCCATTATGAATGAAATAACCCCTTTTATTAGGTTAAACCTCTTGTTCAGAGAAGCATCCACAATTCAGCCATTATGAATGAAATAACCCCTTTTATTAGGTTAAACCTCTTGTTCAGGGAAGCATCCACAATTCATTATGAATGAAATAACCCCTTTTATTAGGTTAAACCTCTTATTCAGAATATCCACAATTCAGCCATTTAATGAAATAACCCCTTTTATTAGGTTAAACCTCTTGTTCAGGAAGCATCCACAATTCAGCCGTTATGAATGAAATAACCCCTTTTATTAGGTTAAACCTCTTGTTCAGGGAAGCATCCACAATTCAGCCATTATGAATGAAATAACCCCTTTTATTAGGTTAAACCTCTTGTTCAGGGAAGCATCCACAATTCAGTCATTATGAATGAAATAACCCCTTTTATTAGGTTAAACCTCTTGTTCAGGAAGCATCCACAATTCAGCCGTTATGAATGAAATAACCCTTTTATTAGGTTAAACCTCTTGTTCAGGGAAGCATCCACAATTCAGCCATTATGAATGAAATAACCCCTTTTATTAGGTTAAACCTCTTGTTCAGGGAAGCATCCACAATTCAGTCATTATGAATGAAATAACCCCTTTTATTAGGTTAAACCTCTTGTTCAGGGAAGCATCCACAATTCAGCCATTATGAATGAAATAACCCCTTTTATTAGGGTTAAACCTCTTGTTCAGGGAAGCATCCACAATTCAGCCATTATGAATGAAATAACCCCTTTTATTAGGTTAAACCTCTTGTTCAGGGAAGCATCCACAATTCAGCCATTATGAATGAAATAACCCCTTTTATTAGGTTAAACCTCTTGTTCAGAGAAGCATCCACAATTCAGCCATTTTATGAATGAAATAACCCCTTTATTAGTTAAACCTCTTGTTCAGAAAGCATCCACAATTCAGATGAATGAAATAACCCCTTTTATTAGGTTAAACCTCTTGTTCAGGGAAGCATCCACAATTCAGCCATTATGAATGAAATAACCCTTTTATTAGGTTAAACCTCTTGTTCAGGGAAGCATCCACAATTCAGCCATTATGAATGAAATAACCCCTTTTATTAGGTTAAACCTCTTGTTCAGAGTAGCATCCACAATTCAGCCATTATGAATGAAATAACCCCTTTTATTAGGTTAAACCTCTTGTTCAGGGAAGCATCCACAATTCAGCCATTATGAATGAAATAACCCCCTTTAAGTTTAATTTCAATTGAACATTATTAATTTGGTAATGCAAAACACTGATGACATCTATATGAAGAAATATATTTTACTTTGACAAACAAATTGTAAATATAAAATGAATTTGACAAAAAGAGTTCAGTCATCAAAAACGTTTTTTTTTTATTAATTATTCAACTGAACATCTGATGACTCATACTTTGATGGTTTCTGGATAACATTTAAAAAATGATTATTTTTTTATTTTATATTTTCAATATACTATTATTATTTAAGATTGATGTTTTGTATCTTTTTTTTTTTTTGTTTTGTTTATATTTTTACTTTAAACTGTTCTATACAAAATGATTAGTCCTCTCTGTAACAAAATAATATCCACTCTTTTCTGAATTGGTTAGGATCAAATGTCACAGGAACAAAAAATGTGTGTGTGTGTGTGTGTGTGTGTGTGTGTGTGTGTGTGTGTGTGTGTGTGTGTGTGTGCGTGTACATGTGGGGTGTGCTCAAATGAGGCCTTCCCAGGAATTTTGGATTACAACCCCCTTTTGTTTAAAGAAATCTGTCATGACCATCACCTCCTCCCAACCCCATTTGGTGAAATAAATTCAGGGACTCTTCTCTGCCTGAGGGATGTAGCACATTTGTAATAAAATAAACCTTCAGCAGTTTAAAGTACAGGAGACCAGACATGTCAATCTCATATTTTAGGGAAAAAAAGACACTGAAAATATCATGAACAGATCTCATAAGAAACATGGAAATTTTAAGAAGAAAAGGAAATTTAAAGAAATTGTTAATAACATTCAAAATGAGACAGTTTAAATTTTAGGAACACATACTTAGGAAAGGATGCTTGGAAAATTTAACACTCATGAGGTGTATGGTTAATATGAGAAGTGAGAGAAGTACTTGACAAGTTTGTGTAAATAGATTGAGGAACAATTACCACAATGACAAAAAGTGAGTGTAAAGAATCAAGTAATTCTGAGAGCAACAAAAGATAGGAAGCTGTGGAAAGCCATGATTGCACACACCCTGAAAGAACATGACATAGAAAGATTGTTATATCACTTTGTTAATATTGAATTCTGGAGCTGTCAAAATAATTTCAAAATTGATTTCAAAGAAATCATCATCATCATTATCATTATCATCAGTCCCATGATTAGGTATGGTCATAGGGTCACAGTGCATCTGAACACCTGACCAGTTCCTTCTATCTTATATTTTTTTATTTAAATTGCTTTCACCTCAAGCAAAGTTGTAAAGCCACTAAGACACAAGGGGTTACTGGGTGTGAAAGAATTAGGAACAGAAACATTACTAATGTTTAGGAAGAGAAAAGATTAATCAGAATGACAGTAGGTAGCAATAGACATTGCATTTAAATTTTTTAACATTAAAGTTAACTGGAAAGCATGGAGCTGGAAAGGAGTTCCACAAACAAGAAATGCAAGAAAAGAAACTGTTAGCATAGAATTTATGACTACATCTAGCCAGCCAAACTGTAAATTGATGAGATATTGATGCCAGTCTTGTATTGTACTAAAATTCAAAACGTCTGGGTACCACAGTGAAGAGATCATCAGAACAATTACCATGAAAGTATTTATAGAAAAGGCAGAGGGAGGCAACTTTACGGCAGTGGGAAAGTGACTGAAGCTGAGACACCAGATCAGGACCAATAATATTGCTGATTCTTCTTTGGGTTTTATCAAAGAGCTCAAGGTAAATAGCAGGGGCACTGAACCATATGTGGCAGCAATATTCTAAACATGAATGAATGGTAGACATAGATATGTATGATAGATTCAGGAGAGAAAAATTGTCTCACATGTCACACTCTTGTTTGAAAGTCAAAAAGTTTATGTGTAGCATGTCTTGTGCAAGTAGACCTGGCGGAGCCCATCCCTCTCCAGGACAAACCACCAACCTGAAGTCTCACCTTGGTAAATGTTATAGTGGAACAACCTAACACACCCCAACTGTGATTGGTCAGTCTAGAAGAGACATGATTGGGAGAATAAAAGACGTGACGAACTATTGTAGTAAAAGCGTACGAAGGACGACTACAATCTCCGTGACATATCTCCCGTTTTACTGATTGTTATATTTACGAACTCTTACTCATTGTACTTTCCATACAATAAAACCTTGTTATTGTTTTACCTAATTCCTGTGTTAGTGTAATCTTTCCACCCGGGATTACCTGGTTGCTTATATCGTATTATCCATGATATAACAGTAAAAGAACCATGGCTGTTGATTCCATCAAAGAAACTTACTACCCTGGCCATTGGTTTCAGTCTAGAATGCCCTTAGGGATGGCATATCATCAACACACTGATTATATCCATAGCTATGGAACCCAGTCTACCCCATTGTGCTAGATGACTGTTGACTCTACAAGAAGGTTCATCTGCTCTTTGACAGGTCTTTTTTAATGCTGCTGAGTGTCTAGCCAACTTTCTCACCAGAAAATGCCTGGTGGGTGGACTAGTTTAGTCACCAATGATCTGATCCTTAGGCAGAATCATCGACAGCTGAACTGGTTCAAAGAAATCAAAACGCAAAAATGATTTTACTAAAATTCTAAATAAAGACTTACCCTTCCAAATCCAGGATCTGCAAGTTTTCCAGCATGCTGACCGAACTGATCTCGGATATTTCATTGAAAGACAAATAGAGTTCATGAAGATTTGATAAAGATCCGATGCCATCAAGATCCTGCAGGCTGCACTGAGACATCCACAAAATCCTCAAGTTATGTAAACAGGATCCAAGATCTCTAGAGAAGGAAAAAAAGTAGAAGATGAATTATCAATGATTGGTCAAAATACATTAAAGAAAAATTAATTCTTTTTAGAACAGCAGTCAAAGGCAAAATTTAATAAATAAACTAAAAATATTTCTTATATCCTCTAAATAGTATCCCTTATTTATCATCTCAATACCTTGTTAACATTAACACTGGCATTCTTAAGGACAGGTCAATCAACTAATTTTATTTCTGAAAGCAGATACTTAGATACGCAAAAACAAAAGATCAAATACCAAATACATTGATTGATTCCTTTTCTATGGCTTACCAATACTTTACAGGTTATTTAAAGCTAGAAAATATTTTAGATTGTAAGAATTTGGGGGGGAGATAATAATTGTTTAGTGAGGAGGAGAAGAGGTGGATTCATATCTTTCCCTAGGGTATATAAGAGAATGGGATTTGGTTTAATTTTAAGAGAACGAGACTTGGTTTATTTTTTGGAGAACAGGATTTGGTTTCATTTTAAGAAAACAAGAATAGGATTATTTTTAAGAGAACAGGATTTGGTTTATTTTTAGAAGAACGGGATTTGGTTTATTTTTAGAAGAACAGGATTTGGTTTATTTTTAGAAGAACAGGATTTGGTTTATTTTTAGGAGAACAAGATTTGGTATATTTTTAAGAGAATAGGATTTGGTTTCATTTTAAGAGAACAAGATTTGGTTTAATTTTAAGAGAACACAATTTGGTTTAATTTTAAGAGAATGAGATTTGGTTTATTTTTAAGAGAATGAGATTTATCTGTTTATTGGTTATAAGTGATGTGCGGATAGTGTAACAGATATCATCACCATAAGCAAAATAGGTGATTTGATATGGTTAATTCATTTTTTACGGCTTATCAACCCTTTGCAGGTTATTTAAAGCCAGAAAATATCTTTAGATTGTAAGAAATTTTTTTTGAGCAGGGAGATAATAATGATAATGGTCTTACTAATTAACCCATAGCTGAGGGGAGAAGATTAGATTAATACCTTTCCCAAGAGTATTTGCACATAAGTGAATATAATAAACCCAATGAGAATCGAAACTCAGCTCTCTGATTAACAATCCTGAGCTATTATCTACTACACCACCTGCACATCCAAGCTTATAGTACCTAGTATTACCAAGGGGTCACCCGTCTAGGTACTAACCAGATTTGATGTTGCTTAACTTCAGTGATCATATGGGAACCAGTGTTTCAACATGATGTGGCCGTAAGCCACCCAGTACAAAAACAAAGGACAATCTTAATTGCATTCCCTGTAATCCCCAACCACATGTTTTTAATCATTTCACCCCAAGCAAAGCAATAATGTATGGATTTTATAAAACTTGGTGATATAATAAAATATGTTTGACATGTGTTTACAGATGGAAAAATATTTATTTGAACTCCCTCAATGTATTTCCTGCATAACAAATTATGTTCTTTTCTACTTAGGGTGACATTTACAATATCAAAGTTATGGTCTTTTTTGCTTCTGTGTATTATGAGTAAGTTTAAAAAGTTGTCTCAACATACATCTTTCTTATGTTCATAGATGCAGGTGTTTAGATTCCTAGATGTTTCGCCAATGTAACTTTTTCTACATTGTAGGTTATTTTATGTCATAAATCCCAGCATCTGATGTAGTGTTGGATTTCTTGTTAACTATATCTTCAATTGTTTTGGAAGTGGTGATAAGGATCCTAGTTTTGGAGATAATTTATTTTCAAATTTTGTTCATAGTGTGTTGAATTATGATTTTGGGGCTTTTGTTTTATACAAATGCACACTGCTTGACAAGACAGCTGCTTAACCAATGAAAAACAAACAACACAAAAATTAAAAAATACCAAAATTTCCTTTTACTCCTCCATATTTCATTCTCTGATGAATCTTTAATAAAAGCAAAACATGTTAGATTTATAAACATTTCCTATTTGTTCTTTATCCTATCATATATATAATATATATGGGAAAAGATATATCAATTTTATATACCAGAACAATATTAGGAAAATCAATGACAAAGTGGAAAAAACCTTCTATTATGACAATGTGGGATACTTAATAACAAAACTGATATAAAGATAAACAAAAAGAAATAAAATGAAATTGTCTAGACTATATATGCAAGCACATAATAAAAAATTAATTTAAAAGTTTAGAATTCTCCCATGTCATATGTCTCAAATAGCCTTGAACAACTAAATCCAGCTCCAAGTCTAAGAAGGCAGACCACTGATACCCATAACATAGGGAAGGCAGTCCATCTAGGGGAAGAAAAACCCTGATTTTAAACCTTCGCTGCCTTGTAGTCATATCCAAACACAGAAAAGGCTATGGAAGTAAATTCAGACAAAAAATCCAGAGTGGAGGTCCAAAGATGTTCAGCCGTCTACACTGAAAACCTTCTGTCAACTGCTGCAACCAAACTAGCCCCAAATGTAATGTCATGCATTCCTTTGGATCTTATCTGTACAGCCAAGAGTGTGGCCATGGGATCTGGGCAGTGCACAGACTCTATATACCATAAAATTAGGGCATTTCCAGTTTGTGTTTTTGCATAAAAATATATCTTTCTTCCACCATTTAGCTATGGCAATCACTAGTGACCTCAGAGGCCAGTGCCACCTATCCCATATTCACCCTTAAGTTATAGATGAAATTAAAGCTCCTAGGGTAGGATGTAAATTATCAGGTTGCAAGGTGATTGGTGGACTTGAAACATTGAGAAGGTAGACATTGTTGTTGTCAGTTCTTTTTTATTTTCCTTTGTTGAAAGACTCCGTTGACAGTGCTTTGCTTCAGTCAAGTGAATATTTTAAAAGATTGCCTGAATAAGGTTTCTTACTGCCAGAAGTACAAAAATTTAAATATATGGGAAGTGTTCTAACAGAGTATGGAAAGTGCAACACTGAGATCTGAAGATGCAATGGGATGGCCAAAGATGCATTCCAAAAATCAAGCAGAATATTAACAGACAGAAAAATTTTGTTAGAAACAAAGAAAAGAGTACTGAACTGTTGTGTGATATTTGTCCTTCTGCATGGCAGTAAATGCTGGACAATCTCCTCAAAGACTTGAAGCCACAGAAATGTGGTTCTACAGAAAGATGCCATGGGCTGAACATGTGAGCAACAACGAAGTTTTGGAGAGAATAGAAACAAAAAAGAAATACTTAACATCAGGAAGCGGTAGTTGAAGTTTCTGGGGCATGTAATGAGGAAGGTGAGCTTGGAAAACCTGATACTCACAGGACAGATTGAGGGAAGTGGGACAGAAGAAAGCAGTGTGTAACACAATTGATGTGCTTGAACAAATGTATGGTAGAACAGGGTTTGGGAGTTATGACTAAAAGACAAAATTTATTAAGGGCAACAAGTGACAGGAAGATGTGGAGGGCTATGATCGTCTACGCCCTGAAGGGACATGGCACATAAAAGACAAAGACTGCTAAAAGCCTGCTTTCAGCATTTATGGCAAGTTGACTTTAAGTGGCAATGTTGTAAAGCCATTTAATAAAAGAGTGGTATAGTGACATAACTGAGAAAACAAAAAAATGAAAGTGCTGGCAAAGTTGCAGACACTATAAACTTTATTTCACTGTAATTTGGAGATAGATGTCAAGAGAACATGAAACCACCAAGGGACAGACAGGTGAGATTGTTCACTGAGATTGTTGTATACTTTTCATTGGGCAGTGGGGTGTTAGTTGGCCTCATCTCGTCAGGCTAGTGATCACTGGTCATTTTAGTTCAATCCTCTTCTTCTCTTGGTCAGTGTCGCTAAATGTTCTTTGGATTCAGAGCATCAACAAAGAGAACTTTTAACTATTATTTTATTAACCACGTTGATGGGTACACCTTCTATCAAGTGGGGGTTACTACACCCCTCTTACGGGACCACTTTCAAACACAAAAATCTCACTTGTCCATTTCCTTTGATGTGTAACCACCAACTCTCAAAAAACCCTTCCCCACTGTGGCAGGGGTGGAGGGTGCACAAATGCAAGCTGACATATCTAGTTAGCTTGATGTCCAAACAGCAACTCCCATAAAACCTTAATCTATATCTCATTCTCACATTCAGCTCAGCCAATCAAAATCGACATCCCTATTTTGTCTACCATCTGACATCAAAAGTCAGCCTCAGGTCTGAGCCAAAATACACTGCCACTGAAAAATAATAGTCTGAAACTATTATTTAACAAGATCACATAGGGACTCAGTCTGATACTGCTTAACCTGGTGCAAACTCAGTTTGTTTGCCATTGCAATGGAATAGTGATCTGTGATCAAGTTGTTGTGTGATGCAAAATTTAGCAATTGTTGGCTTGCAATCTGATTGGTGGGCATGAGGCATTGTGGGCCATGAAAAGGAGGTCATTGTTGTTGTCAGAAGTTTTCTGGGTTTTTTTCCCTACATTAACAGTGCTTTGTTTCAGCTATGTGACAGTGTTAACAGATTGCCTGGATTATGATTCTTACTACCAAAACCCTGCCTGCTTGGATTTACACAGGATCCAGCCATATGACATATACAACTTTTGGAGTTGTAAAAATAGCATTGATACTTGAATCTTACCTTATTGAATGGATAGAGCTGTTAGATAATTTTAGTTCTGTCAAATTGGGAACCAAAGAACCAAAATTACCCAAACTCATTTCTGAAGTGTCAACTTTTACTTCTAAACTGCTGATGTCTTCAAGATCATCCACTCCTCCAAGGAGGCACTGAAAAATTAATAAAAAGAATACTATAGATCATTTTTAGAGGATTCATGAGAGAAAAAAAACCCTTAAAACTTAATCCTAAATAAAAGTGAGATTATCCCCTCTTTCCACAAGGAAGCACAAAAACCACATGACTTTCTGGGACAAAAAAAAATAAAAGATTGAATGTTAGAAAATCAAAAGCAAGCTTTTCTTCTCTGGTCTTTCTGTGTCACCAATAAGTTATCAACCTTTATTCGACTTCTATGTGCTGCATCCCTTCAGGATGTTGGTGATCATGACTCTCCATAATTTCTTGTCCTTTATAGCTCTTAATAAATTTGATTTTTTCTTATTTCCCCAAAAACTTGTTCCACCAACCATTTCTTCAAGCTCAATGAGTAGGTTATGCATTGTTTTTCTCTTTCCCTCTTGCCTTCAATCTGTCCTATGAGTATCAAATTTTCCAAACCCTCTTAACTGATTATGTGCACTAGAAATTTCAACTTTTTCTTTCTGATGTTAAGTTTCTTTCTTCTTTTATGTGTCGTGTCCCTGCAGGATTTAGGCGATCATGTCCCTGTCCCTTGTAGCCCTTAATAAGTTTGTCTTCTTGTTATTTCTCCCAAACCCTACCATCCACTTCTCATCAAGCATGCTACACACTGCTTTCCTCTGCCCCTCCTTCCCTCAATCTCTCCCATGAGTATCAGATTTTCCAAACCACCCTTCCTCATTACGTGCCTCAGAAACCTCAACTGCTTCTTCCTGAAGTTAATTTTCCTTTTTGTTTCCATTTTCTCCAAAACTATGTTACTGCTTACATGTTTGGTCCATGGTATCCTCAGCATCTTTCTATAGAACCACATTTCTATTGCTTCAAGTCTCTTCTTTATCTTTGAGGAGATTGTTTATCGTTCACTGCCATATAAGAGGACTGGTATGACATAACATTTTCTTTGTTTCTAACAAAAATTTTCCTATTTCTTAATACTTTGCTTTTTGAAAAGCATCATTGGCTATGTCACTGTGCCTTTGGATTTCAATGTCACACTTTCCATCTTCTGTTAAAGCACTTCCCAAATATTTAAATTTTTGCACTTGCTTGATTTTGGTATCTCCAATTTGTAATTTGCATGTTGGGCTGTTCATTTTGCTAACAACTATGCATTATGTCTTCTTGCAATTCTGGTAGATTTATAAATGTGTAAAATGGATTTCGACGAGAAAAATTGTCTGGCATGACACAGTGAAACAACTTTACAGTTGATTTAATATAATTGCACTACTGAATGTCTGTGGAAAATGTGACCAAGAAGGTGCAATGAGGTGCTATCTTGAAGGCTAGCATCATCCATGTTGATAGAAGGTAAATAAAGGTTCTCTACAGGGATTAAAATATAGCAGTTTCATTTTTAAATTTACAAGCCCTTCCTTACTGCAGTTAACAGCTGATTGGAGGTCCTTTTCAAGAGCATCTGCCAGTTTTACTTTGTGGGTCACGTCAGACTCACTATTAAGACAGGAGTAAATAGTTGTGTCAACATAATTACATAGTTGGATACTAATGACAATGGGAAGGTCATTGTTGAAGATAAGAAACAACGTAGGTCCAAGGATAGAAGAATCCTGGAGGACTCCTGCACTAATGTGAAATGCTCTACAGGATACCCAGTAAAAAAGTGGCAAATTTATTCTTTGACAAAATACACCAGCTCTAATTGGTCCATCTCAGTGGACCTCTAAAAGCCCAAATCTGAATGTTTATGGATTACTGTATCTGGAGTATAATCCTAACTCACTTGCAAAACCATCACTGTGACATCATTGATATTGATTCATTAAAACTTGGAATTAAATTCCTGTTGACACTTTCTGCAAAGCTATTACCTCCTGGTTAAAATGCTTACAACTTTGTGATGAACATTCAGGCAAACATTTCAAACATCTACAATAATTGTTCAGTCTGTGCATGAATCATGATAGCTAAATAAATTTCTTTATGAATTTACTGCATTTTTACTGTGCACCCTGTAGAATCATGGCCATTCAACATGACTTTCATTACCCAATTTGTGAAAACAATTGGATTAAGTCAAATATCCAGCCAGGAACACCTTCCTGGTCAATGTAGGCAGGAAAACCTTAGCATTTCATCTTGCCAAACCCTGTCAAAACCTTTGAGATATCTAAAGCCACAACCTGAGCCTAGATTCAGTGATAACAGTTAACACATCAGCCGTTGACCTAGGGAAAAGAAAGCAATATTGTTTATCTGCAAGAAGGCTGTGTGAAATGAGACATTTAACCAATTCAGAGTTGATTAGAGCATCTAATACTCCACCAGAAACAGGTAGAAGACTAATAGGAAGATAATTCAAGGAATCAGAAGGTTCTCCAGAGTTCATTTTTGAGAGCAGCTAACTAGTTGGACTTACTATTAAAAATGTAGAAAAAGCTTCTTCAGAATTGTTATTTAAAGTTCACAATTTTAAAGTTTGGCTTTTAGCCAATTAAAAAGGTTCTAGAAGTATACACTGGTAAGGAAAAGGAGCTGTGTTCATGTACAGATGCTCAGGAGGAGAAGACAATTAGCACTTGGTGTCTTTGCATCTATATCTGAGTAGTAATCAGCCATGTTTCTTTGAATTTACTATAGGTTCAAGTGAATCTTTTACAACTGACATTTTTCAGATACTGACTCACTTTTTATTTTTTATTTTTTTTTGGATTAACTACCAACTCCCACACTTAGTTGTTTTGAAAAGTAAATAGAGCCATTTGATTGGTCAATTATTCTATCTCAATAAACCCATGATGTGTTCTCTACTACATTCACTGAACTCATTATTATCGTCATCATTATTAGTCTCTTGACTGCTTCAATCATCAAGCAGGGGAGAGAGCAGAAGAAGCAAACAACTACCCCCAGGCTGACCTCTTGGCAGGACTATCAGGAGTTCCAACATTGTCATGCCCGTCCACTCTTTGATGTTGTCTGACCATCTCTTGCATTGTCATCCCCACCTGTGTCGATCTTCAACAGTGCCTTGCATGATGATCTTGCAGAGGCTGTCATGCTTGTGTGATGTCACCAAACTATACCATCTTCCAATGCTTAATAGTGGCAACGTGAGATTCTTGTCAGCCCACGAGACTTCCAACCTTGCTCTGTACATCAGTCAGTTACGTGCTTAGGCAATCATGTATCTTTCAATACATGACTGACAAGGCAGATTTTTTTCCCCGCAGTAGGTTGCCATTTCTTTCTGTAGTAGACCAGGTGCCATCCAAGGCTATAGGACCCAGTCTGTCCTGCTATTTATCTATAGCTGGGGGGGGGGGGAGAAGAAGAGGATTCATACCTTTCCCAAGGGTATTAGCATGTAAGTGAATGTAATGGATTTGACATGGAATTCAAATTTGGCTCTGTACATAGTCAATGGTTTAGTGCTTTCAGTAGGAGTTGTGGAGGAGTTTTCTCAAGCATTCTTGAAAATTTGGATCCTGTCTCAGCCAGGAATGTCCAAGTTTCATGCCAGTAGAAGTGGATGGAGATGACCAGTGATTTGCAGAGCTAGAATTTGGTTTGGGAGCTGATGTTGCTCTTCCATATCCTTTCCAGTAAGGTCAACACTGCTGTGTGTGAAATTTTGCATAGCAGGTGCCATCTTTTGACAGTTAACTTTCAAACTTTTTTGATTTCAGTTGCCATTTAAATCAAACCAATTCAAAAGAAATATTCTTTTTCTTCTTGAAACCAGTAATAAGCTAACCCAAAGTGGAAAGATTATATTGAATCAATTGCTAAGTTTGCAGGTGTTGAGGAAGACAATTTTTCTCACCAGAATCTATCTTACATATTTATAAGTCTACCATTTGTCCTTACTTTGAAAATTGCTGCCACATCTGATCTAGTACCCTTGTTATATATTTTAAAATCCAAAGAAGAATCTGCAATGTTATTGGTCCTGACTAGGCATCTCGGCTTCAGTCAATTTTATGCACTGTAATGTAGCTTCCTTATGCTTTTTCTATAAATAATTTCATGGTAATTGTTCTGATGAACTTTTCTCAATGGTACCTTGACTTTATGAAATTAAGTGCAGTACTAGAATGGTGCCAAGGTCACATCATTTTATAGTTGAAATAGCTAGATGTAATTGTAATTTCTATGCTAACAGTTTCTTCTATTGTACTTCTTAATTGTGGAACTCTCTCCCAGCTTGGTTCCCAATCAACTTTGATTTTCAAAAAAGTGAATGCAATGTCAATCGTTATCTTCTGTCTTCTTAATTCTTGTTCTTTTATTGTCTTCTCTCCTTAATAGTATATTTTTCTCATATTCTCTAACATCAGTAAACCCTTTCTTCTTAGTGGCTTTATTGCATTGCTTTAGGTGAAATGATTAAAAAAAAAGAAAACATTATGGCCATTTTGGCAGGGATGGATGCTAATTGTTTGTGATGTCTCCTGCCATTGTTCGGTCATTGTGTGGAGATATGTGCATGTAGAGCCTGCAGTAAGTATTTCGATATCAAACAAATCTCTCAATTCAATGGTAAACATTACTTTTTACATACTAAAAATCATAAAATAAGCCTGCTTTGAAAGCAAATAATTTTAGATTTTAATGTCATGTCCCTTCAGAAAATAGGAAATCATAACTCGCCACAGATTCCTTTTCTTTATTATCTCTGAATTACCATACTTTCTTGGGAAAGATAGTATTTTCTCATTACCATTTCAAAAGTTTCAGAGCCCACCTGTGGTTTATACTGTAACTATTAAGGTTTCTGGAAGAAAGCACTTAATCTGGAATGATCAATAGTTTGAACAAGGGCTGTACACTCAAACACTCAGTCATGATGACTTGTGACTTTATGCTAGCAAAACCATTTGTCAGCTTTCACCCACAAATGAAAGTTATTTAAGCTATCTAGCTGAGGATGGGGGAAATACAGATTTATGCCTTTCCCAAGGGAATTTGTGTGAAAGTGAATACAACAGACTATATCAGAATTTGAACTCAGGACTCACTGATTAACGTGCCAATATCCATTACAATACCTGCATATCTGGAATGCAAATATATGTGACATTTTAATCTCAGTAAAACCGATGATAATGAAGCTCTACTCTAAACAATATTTTCTTGTATATATACTATAAATTTATGGAGAATAATCACAGTCAAAATATTACTATGTCCTTTTGAGATTTACACTCTCCCTAGACTTCAAGTGGAACTGGTACATACAATCCATTACTAAAGATGTTTGGGAAATGGTTGGTTCCCCATACCACTCCAGTAAGTATCTGACTCCACCTGCTATCCTCTACCTTTACAAAAGCCAGATCAGTTGGAAAATGGAGTACTGATGTCGTATATGGAAGGGAACTGCCCAATCTTCATTTTCCACTTTCTGTAGAGTCCAAAAGCATCTACACATCCTTGTAGCTGACAAATTATTTTCTACTCTGCAACTTCTTTCTCCCAATCAAGATGTCACAAGCCTCTCACTGTTGTATCACTATTTCCATAGAAATTGTTCAGATGAACTTCATTCCTTAGTTCCAACAGTTCTAACCTTCATGGCTAAAACCTACCATGCCATATACATTGCAGTGAATCACCCTCATTCCCTTCATATTCCACACAAGCACAAACCACTGCCTTATGGAAATGACTACCAAGAATTTGCTTTCCCAATCACTACAATCCTAACCTGCTCAAGTCTAGGGTTAACCATTATCTTCCACACATATTCACATGAGTTTTGCCTTTTACCCTGTAGTCCTCTACTTCAAGTGGCTCTCGGGCCTTGCACAATGTGAACACCATATACTGGAAAAAAAAACAGGTCAGCTGAACAGAGGCAATAAAAAGATTTTGTCTTGCCAATACACTATGGAATCATCAAACAAGATTTAACAAGAACAATTCTATTAGTATTCATTGCATATTAAATGTTTATATTGCAATATTCATAATTATTTAAATGAATCAGAGATAAGAACTCAATATAAGAAATACATTAATTGCTTGAAAAATTATGTTTTGGATATGGAAATAAAGTTAGCAGATATAGACTTTGAAACGTCCCAATAGGAAAAACTTGGCTTTGCTGTGATGACTTTATATGACTCAATGATAAAGCATACTTGGTTTGAAAAGTTTCCCAGATTAAAATGGAAATATAGATTCAATTCCTGTAAGGAGGCACATTTCCCCTTAAGGGTGCGGGTTTTCATAGCCCTGTACTATTACTTTTAGCTAGTTAATTGTTTTTCTGCTATTTTAGATTACGTGACAGGCAGGGGTTATGTTACCAACTTAATTTTTACTTTGTTTTTGAAAATACATTTTTAAAAATTGTTACTGGGTTTTTATCATTTCATGCCCACATTTCATGTGGACTTTATATTTTAGAAAACAAAATGTGAATAGTGAACTAGATTAGCTTTCATAGAGAATATGTGGCTTTATGGCGGCTGAGATATGAAAGATGTTGGATTACTAAGGTAGGGATTATCTAGACTGAGCAGGAGAGAAATGTATTATTCCACTTTTTCATTTCAAATTCAAACTTTGTGTGTGTGCATTAAATGACACAAGCACATGCAAGCCACTGACACATAATACAGACATACACATATACAAAATCACACATAGGCAATGTTTGACAGACAAAGAATCAGCTCTTTTTTTATAATATAGATATTGTAGAATTTTTTTTTTTTTAAATCAAAATGTTGTCTCCAAGCATACCAATTTCCTTGGTGACAGGTACTGGCGCAAAAGTAAATCGCTTTCATCTAAGGGAACTGGTTCAGGATTTATTTGGTCATCATCAAATTCTGTAATTTGAACTCCTCTTGCCAACACACTATCTGGACGTTGATCAGAAAAATTCATGTTCAAACTGAAAGACAAAATTATTTTCTCAGTTGAAACTTGTCTATAAGTTATTTTTAAAATATAATTAAAAAAGAAAGAAAAGACTTTTTATTAGGTACTAGACCACCCATAAATCTGTTGGGTTTCATTTAAAAGCAGTTCATGATACAGGTAATGATAAGGTAACAGTATTATCAACTCTTTTATTAATTACACATTTTAATTTGTATTTAAAGATGTTAAGAGGAGGATTATTGTGCCACTAGACTTCATAGTTAACACATTGCCTGAACATTTGGAATAAGAGCTTAAAACAGATTTAGTCTTTTTCTAAATAATAAGTGACTTTTTATTATATATACTTGTTTCTTCCTCACTTTTATTTCAAAATAATGGTAGCAATTTAATGTGCATCTATTTATTTATTTACCATCAAGTCATGGGACACATATAGCCTCTTTACCTTTCAAGTAGTTGTTTATAAAAAAGGAAGTTCCAATGTAATGTAATGAATTGTATAAATATATGTGTTAAGAGTTAGCAAGAATGCATATCCAATTTTGTTTCCTTCACCACCAATTAGGTGGTGCTGTTTAAGTTCTATAAAAAGACAAATATTTCCTTCCTCTTCCTTTTTCTCCAGGATGTAGCATACCATACATGGGGACGTTCCTGCTGGTGCATGTTTGTTTCTCCACTGAACCCCTATACACATGCTGAAATACATGCACGTACCACATACACAAACAAGTACATTCTTAATAGCTAAGGTTTTAATATCTTTTACTTTCCTTTCAATTGTGGATACATTTATGTAATTTCTTTGTGTTAATTGTCATTTTTTTAAAATTCCAATTATTTTAATACTTATTTTTACCCAGACTCACATGAGTCCACCAAATATTGTTTCAGTGAGAAAAAGAAATAAAGAAGGGAAGATAGAAGTGTTTAACGTCTGTCTCAGTGAAATGGAAAAATTTGTCAATTTCAAACCTTTTCATTTCTACAATAACAACCAGCATTCATACTTATGATTGTTATTACATAGTTAAAGTTGCTAAGTTTAAATATTTAATGATATGATAGGGGAATTTCTATGAATATTTTATTGTCATAGAACTCACCATGAGTTTCCTCAATCATTAACTGAAGAATTAAGAATTATCAGAAATTTCAAATAGGAAAACCATGAAATTTTCACTGATATTTCTAGTTGTTGTATAATGTTCAATCCATGTAAGCTATAAAGGGATATTTTGGATTAAGTGCAGCAGCAATAAAAGAGCTTACACTGAAAAATTAATGTTTGTCCTTTAAAATAAATGCTTTTTTCATCATTATGTTACAGTCTTATTGATGCAGCTATGTAGTAGGGTAGATCAATAAGCCAGAGACAGTTACTATTCTGATCTGAAATTTTCCCTGTATAGAGTTCTCTGTGAATAATATTCACCACTGAATAAAAATGGATTGACAGAGAAAGAAATTATGTTAAAAACAAACTTTTTTCTTTCTTTTTTTAAAAAATCATTTTACCCAAAGCAAAGCAATAAAGCCACTAAGATGCAAGTGGTTACTGAGTATTAGAGAATATGAAAAAAAGACTGATTGATTTGTTTTTTTTTACAGCTTATCATCCTTTTTGAGATTATTTAAAGTTGAAACATATTTTAGGATTGTAAGAATATTTTGAAGATAATAATGATTTTCTGATACAAGTGTTACTATTTAACCCATAGTTGAGAGGAGGAGAGATGGATTCATACCTGTCCCAAGAGTATTTGCATGTAAGTGAATATAATGGACCCAAATGGAATTCAAACTCAGCTCTCCAATTTCTCATTCCATTACACCACCTGCACATCCAAGCTTACAGTACCTGGTATTCTCCCGCAGTCATCCATCTAGGTAATCACCAGGTTTAATGTTGCTTAACTTCGGTGATCAGATGTGAACTACTGTGTCAATATCATAACAAGGAAAAGAAAAAGTTTATTAAGGAGAGAGAACAACAAATATAAAGCCAATGCTTCTTTTTTTATTGTTCTATGTCAGTTTGGATTACCTCCCCTGGTGTATTAATACATTGGAGTAAAGAGATGTCTTCCACAAATCCTGACTTATGTATCTATGCCTAGCAAATGCATGCATCCTCCATACCATTACATGACATTATTAAACAATGATGACAGGTGACATTCTTTCTTCCTAGTCAATAAGATAGGACATTTCTCAGTCAATAAGACTTAGATCTGTTCTTTCTTGGCTTGAAGCCAGACTGCTGCGGTCACTTGTCTGTATCCCCTTTTGTGCGTTTACACCATTCTTAGTTTATGAAATTTTTGCAAAACTATTGTTGCTTTGCCTTGCATATATTGTTTGCTTGCTTAATATTATTTTCTGCCCTGTTCTTTTCTTTTCTTTCTCATGTTTATTGCAAGCTTTGTCAATTCTGTTTGTTAGGCATTTCTGCCAATTACATTTAACAATGGTCAATTACGCTACAGATACAAATCTTCTAATTAACAAGTAGCTTCATACCTTTGCTAAGGGTATTTGAATATAAAAAATCCAACTTGAATTGGAACTCGGCTCCTCAATTAAAAAATTTGAGTTATTATCCATTACACAACCTGCACATCCAAGATTACAGCACATGGTATTCCCAAGAGTTGCCCATCTAAGTATTGACCAAGCCAGACATTGCTTAACTTCGGTGATTCAATGGGAACCGGTTTTTCAACGTTATGTGGAAGTAAGCCTAAAGTTCACCTAGGTCAACTGTCAAGGTTTTGAAAGGTAAAACAAAGTCAAAGAAACCATTCCTCACGGAAGTTAAAAATATTTGTACACAGGTAAAATTATAATAGTAAGGGAGGTAAATCAACTTTTGGTGATAAATTCATGTATGGTTACTTCCCTTGGTCATTTAATAAGCGATAAAAAAAAAAAAAAAAAAAAAAAAAAAAAACTCCGACGTCCACGTCGTAAATCATGGAAAATGCCAAAGTAGGGGATCGCTTGGCAAGGTGAAATATGTGTGGGCTTTCGTTGGTCCCGATCCGCTATATTAGCCGTGAAGGCCTACCTACAGTGGCGTAGCTAGTGTTTTGTCGCCCGGGTCGTCCCTCAAGTTTGCCAGCCTTCCCCAACAATATTACAATGAGTTTGTTTACAGTTTAAGAGTCATAAATTAAATACCACATTAACTGTTAATGTGGTAATGATTAACAGAAACACGGTTTCGTTTTTCTTTTAACAATGTAAAAAAATGGAATGTCTTTTTAAATTATTTTGTTTTAGTTGAAGTTATATTAGCAAATTATTATTGTAGACTAAGAATTAAAAGTCCGATAAAATTAATTTCACTTTTAAAAACTGAAATAAATGTTAAAGTCTTTTGTTTAATAAAACTTCAACTATAAACAAAAACAAAAAATAAAAGATTGCATTGTTTTCTTTTACTACCGTGAAAACTTGTAAATTGAAGAATTTAAAAAAATGCCTATTTTGGGACTTTAAATAATTTCTGTTTTTCAGAAAATTTACTTTGGATAAATGCTTATGCTTATTTCACCCTGAAGTGATATCACTAAAAAAAAAAAAAAAAAAGAGCATGCCTAGCATGATGAAAAAGACGCCAAACTTGACGAAAACAAAATTTTAACGTCTAAATGTTTATGTTATTAAGAGGAAAGAACAAAGTATTTTTTAAAAATTTTTCCCTCATTTTAGAACATTCTAAATTTTGATTGAAAAACCTTGTTTCTCTTCGTGTCCAGCGGAACTACCAAGTAACATAAAATTTTAGCGCGTTTTTTTTTTTTTTTTTTCTGTAGTATGACAGACATTAATTTTGAAAAACTTGCAAAAATAAAAATAATTGTCGGATTTTAATGAAACTTTCAGAAACTATTCACAAATGATAGAACTTATTATAAACCTGTTTTCCTTTTTTTAAAGTCGTGGCAAAAATTTTTTCATATGTATTACCCCCCCAACTAATTGTACAAAAACTCTATAATTTTAATTTGGGGCAGATTAGTGATTTAGTTAAAAGCACAAGGTTTTATGGAAACCGAATCATGTTTTTTTTTTTTTTTTTTTTTTTTACTTGGACCACCTCTACCTGAAAATCACCTCTAATTGTAACATACAAAATCCTATAAAACAAAAATATTATTTAATTTCAAAAGCTTTTAGTTATTTTAAGGAACATAGACAATACTGTCTGAAAGTAAAAAAAATATTTCGATGAAAAATGAATTTTTAAAACATTTGTTATTTCTGAAATATTTTATTATTTTTACATTAAATGTTGTTAATTCTTCTAAAAGTAAGGAAAAGTTTGTACAATTTAATGAATGTTGTTAAGTAGATATATATTTACAGATTATAATTTTCAAAGCTTCTTACAAACTAAACAAACACCAGTATATAAAAAAATATAATTTGTGTCAATAATACAACTGCAAATCAAATCTACGGAAGACCAGAAGTATGATGTGTGTGGAAAAAAAAAAAGTCACATAGATTGAGTTTCTGTCTAGTATTTAAGTTAAATACTGAATTTTCGATATAAATATTTGTTATTTCTTTAATTATAATAGATTTTTACATTTAAGTTGTTAAAATATTATAAAATTAGTTAAAAGACACATTCAGTTTCGTAAATGTCCTTTTGAGATAGATTTATTTTTGCAAAACACATGTGGGAAAGTTAATTTGATTTTTCAATTTCAACTGAGAAGGGTACCTGCAAGTATCACTATCATCTTATGAAAGTTAAATTTGTATTTTATGTATACTTCTGATAAAATTTCATAAGAAAGGTACCTATAAATTAATTAGATACATTTCTTATGAAATTTAATCTCACTCTCAACAGTCTTATTTTAATTTCTTTATAATATATTTTCCATAAAGCATTGTAAACCTAAAGGTGAAAGTCAAGTACAAAAACAAAAAATTAAGGCGCTAAAAGTTTTCCTTAAAAATAACAAGGTAATTAATTTGTTCACTTAAATCTAAATAATTTCACTTCTCTCCTTCCGTAGAATAAATTATCCTCACGTAAGCTGTCAATACATCATGAAAATGGCTTTCATCACCTGTCAAGTGACGTGAAATGTTATGACCTGCTTTGTTTTATTTTCAAACTACATCTTTTCGGTGCAGAAACTAAGTAATGCGTGTTTCAAAATATTTTAAATAAACATTATAATTTCAGATTTTCTTAAAATAAGTTTTGAAAAAGTTATAATTGATTTTTAAAAGAATTTCAAACTGAGATTTTCATTTTTTTTATAAAATGGAAAAAAAGTGGTTGACATGATTATCTGATATAATTTTGCTGACTAAAAAAAACAAGATTTTTAACAAAAATTTTGGACATGCTAGGAACGATTAAAAAATGTAAAAAAATACCCCCAAAATACTTTGATCTTTCCTCTTAATAATAACATAAACATTTAGAAGATAAAGTTTTGTTTTCATCAAGTTTGGCGTCTTTTTCGTCATGCTATGCTCTTTTTTTAGCGATTTCACAGAGGTACCTACATGGCTTCTATTGGTGCAAAAGATGATGAGAATAAGAGGAAAAGAACAACTTTGAAGTTATTGCAAAAAGTGGAAATTTTAAACAAACTACATGCTGGTGAAAGTTCATTGTAACTAATGGCTTAGTTCAACATAGCAAAGTCAACATTGTATGATATAAAATCTTCCAAAGAAACTATTCTCCAGTGTTCATACTGTCATAATGAACAAAGAAATAAAATCATGATTGTGATTAAACCCGGACTGAAATTGAAAAATCTATTGAAATGGTTGTCAATTTTATGGAAAGAAAGCCTGCATTCAGCTTTGAAGATTGATTATAATCGTCATAACTGAATTCTGGCATGCATAATTAAAAAGAGTCTTTTGTTTAAAACACATTACAATCTAAAATTTCCATGTATAAATATATATATATATATATATATTTTTATATATATATATATATATATATATATATATGTATATATTAAATTAATTGATTTAAAATATTTTTTTTTCACACACATTTCTAACCATGTTTCAAAATGGAAGCTAAAAGCTCGAATTTAATTTTTGTAATTAAAGACATTAGTTCCATTTTTTGAAACATGGTTAAAATTGTGTAGCAAAAAAAAACATCATATTTTAAATCAATTAATTTATAATATTAATGCTCTGTAAATTTACATTGAGCACTATTTTGTAAAAATAAAAATATCTGTAAGAACACCGGATTATATATCTTACTGTTCTTTCTTTTTATTTATATATATATATATATATATATAATAATATAAAATTATCGTGCTAGACAATTTTTCTCATCACAATCAGTCATACATATTTATAAGTTTACCATCTGTCCTTGCTTTGAATACTGTTGCCACATCTGGTCTGATGCTTCTGCTATATATTTAGAGATTTTTATAAAATCCAAAGTAGAATTTGCAATGTTATTGGTCCTAAATTGGCATCTTGATTTTAGTCACTTTACCAATGCCATAACTGTGCCATTTCTATATTTTCATGGTAGTTTTTCTAATAAACTTTCCTCTATCATCTCTAGACTTTATGAATTTAAGTGCAGTACTAGATTGGCAGCAAGGTCTCACCACTTTTACAGTTGAAATTGCTAAATGCAATAGTAAGATCTATGCTAACAGTTTCTTCAGTATATAATACCTTTGGAATGTAGTCCATCATTTCTAGTACTATACAATGTTTGCAGGTATAAATTATTATTTCAAAGTAATTAACATAAGCTGATGCAAATTGTTATTTTTACTTATGTGGAAGCTACACCTCAAAGTACCTTGGAAGGAAAAAAAAACAATGGATGGAACGAAGGATGACATTTTGATCATAATATTGGATCCAATAATGAAATGTCTGATTTCTTTTAATGCAATAGTAAAAGCAATGAGAAATTTATAGGTTTTGAACCAAACTAAATAATAGTAAACTTTTCTATTTTTTTTTATTTGCAGTATTTTCTTATTACTAGAATTCTTTTGCAACACATTGACAAGTATTGAAATTCTCACAGTATTTAGTATTGTTGAAGTTATTGCTAACATTTTTTGTTGAGATTTACAAACTCTACTCTAAGCTGATTTGTTTGGAAAAATACTTTGATAAAAATCCTACTTTGCAGTTTAATAATTTCTTTAATTCTATAGGAATTCATAGGGAACAATATTCTTTAATTCTATAGGATTTCATAGCAAACAATATTTTTTTTAAGAAAATTTCATTTTTTTCTTTTTTCCTTTCTTTTTTGAAATTTTTCTGCTACAGTTGAAATCCTCTGCTTATTTGAAACTCTCCCTACTTTGTTTATATTGACAGTGCTACAACTGTGCATTATATCTTATCAAAATGAAATATATATAAAAAAAAAAAACAATATTGCATTTTTATTAAATAAGTATTTATTTTAATCATTAAATAGTTTTTAAAATAGTGTAACGATTTTGTATGTTAAATAATAAAACTTTTAATTTTTCAAAAAAAAAAAAATGAATAAAAACTTATTGTACTAAGCTACACACCCTAGTAAAATTAACAGTACTTTGTACCTATTACCTGTTAGAACTTCTCCCCAAAATTAGTTTTCAATTGGTCAATGTATGGCTATTTTAAAGGGTGTGACAGATGGACAAACAGAATTTTATATAGAGATGATGTTTTGAGCTCTTCAAATA